TAAATGGTTGAATGGATGGATGGATGGATGGATGGATGGATAAATAAGTGATCCAGTGGTAAAGTATAGGATATGCTGTACATAGGATTTGGGAGAGGATCCCACGTTAGATGGGGTTTTACTAAAGATCCCAGCCAGTCTCCTCCAGGATGCTGCTTTCCTGGGCTTCCCCAACCTCCAAGCATTTTCCAGTGTCAAACACTCTGCAAGCCACACCATTTTTCCCTCATGTGTCTTCCTGGTGAATTCTTACTGGCCTTTCCAGGAACAGCACAATTTCCCTAATCCTTCTTTCTGACTGACTTGTTTCTCCCTCTTCCTAGCCGGTTTCCCTGCCCACCTTACCTTCTCATATAGTCCTGTTTCACAACACATTTCTCTCCTAATGGGTACAACCCGGTCAGAGTCAGAGATCTCCTTGTGTGCCCAGTTCTGACATCCAGAAGTCTTTGCTTTGTGAATTAATTGACTTCCAAGTTCAGCTTTTTTTTTATTTCTTTCAACCATCCTGGATGATCTATAATCAGAATCCTGTAAAACTAAAGACTGTGCAGGGTACGCAATTGGTGTGGGCTTCACTTGCACACAGAAATAATTTTCATCCTCCCTGGCTGAAAAGTTACATGAGACTCATCACATATCGCCATCGTATTGACCTAAAGTTCTGCTCAGGGCTGGGGTGTAGCTCAGTGGTGGAGCACTTCCCTAGCTTGTGCAAGGCTCTGGGTTCCATCCCAGTACCAAAACAAAAAAGAGAGACAGAGAGACAAAGTTCTACTCCTAGTGTTAGCTCAAAAGCAGACAAAATCATTGTTTGGTTGTAACTACTAGATCTAGAGCTCATTGTGAGCTGCCCAGCTGTCCACAGGGCTGTCCCAAACCATGATTGAACAATGCAAAGATGACTGCAGTGTGGTAGAAGACTCCACGTCACAACCAACCACCACATGGAATTTTCGGTCCTTGAGATGCACTCTCCTCCCATGGGTAACCTAGACTGGGAAACCTCTGCCTTCCCATCAAATCTTGTTATTCTGTGTCAGACAACATTATCAGGGTCCATCTGCCCGAAGGCAGAACGGATCCTTCCTGCACCTTCACCCTTCATTTTACAGATGGGGAACAGAGGCCCAGGTGAGAAAGGGGATTAACCAGAGGTCACGAAGCTAGTTACCAGTGAACCAGGCGAGAGCCAGATGGAGCCTTCTCTTTGCCCCTCTGGTAATCCCCAAATTTGGCCAGGCCAATAAGTGTGAATACCAGGTGTTCACCAGTGCTCACCTACTCATCGAAGCAATGTCTGGGACTTAGAAAAAAAATCCCTGCAGTGAAAAGTCTCCCCCCAAAGAGCATATGTTACTATGAATTTCCAATCAGAAATTAACTGAGCTATTTGCACAATTTTGGGGGTAAAAACCTAAAAGCTCAAATACCTGCATTTTTGAACCAACTGGGGAACAGGTGAGAATTTCCCTCTGGGAAGTTTTATTCCTACATCCACATCCCTGGAAAGCAGGGCAGGCCCTGCCTGAATCACTGTGGATCCACTTCCAGGACAGGAGTTCAAGCCCCATTTCAGTGGCAGAATGAAAACTTGCTTGGGGTGAAGACAAGACATCCCATGCCACTCTTGTTCATATTGTCACCTCCAGAACCCACAAAGCACCTTAGCAAGCACAGCTTGCTGCTTCCATGCCCTGTAGTCTCCTTAGGGAGACTTGGGGTGCTGGCTCGGTGCCTGGTTTGCATCTGGTGCCCAGTGAGAGGAAACTTGCAGAAGAGGAGTGAGTGGAAGGTTCTTCATCCCTTTAAGAGGAGGAAACAGGAAGAGAATGCTCCAGAAGTGGTGGGTCCTTAATCCCCTCACACTTGGGGGGCTCTGGCTCTCACTCACATGGGGAAGATGGAAGGTCCCTTCCTGCCCACTGGGCTGGAACCCTGCAGACCCCGCTTTCTTCCTCCCCATCTTGTTGGCTGCACTGGGAAGGCCAAGTTAAAACCACTCATTCTGCAACACCCACCTGATTACTCCCAAAAGAGTTGCCACAACTGTATTAACAACCAGAACAGGGAAGGGAAGGGAGTCCTCCCGTGTGGTTTTGTTAAAACTTAGATGCTCAGAGACTTTATTTTATAAACAGGAAAACCAAGTGGCCCTGCCCAAGTGCACACAGCCATTGGTGCCCTCGGGGGCAGGCCTCCTCCTCTGGTTTCTGATTCCTGGGTGGCTCCCTAGGTATTCAGGAAAGGTTGGCCGAATTAAGCTTGACCTGAGTGGCAATTCCCAGCCAGGTTTTAAACCACTTTTTCGTTTAAACCACTTGTTCTCAAACTTGTCTGTATCAGAGAGTTACCCAAAACTGTGGGTGCTGGGTCCCACCTCCAGCAATTCTGATGGAACTAGTTCCAGTGCTGCCCCAGCACGGAGATTTTTTTTTTTTTTTTAAGCTCTAGAAGATTCCTGTGTGCAGATAGGGCACGCTGTTCTGAACCACACCGCTTCCCCAGGGCAGAGAATTGTTGGTCCCTCAGGGTCGTTTTTCCCTCCCCTCCAGGATATTGGCATAAGGGTTTGGGTCAGCAGGAAAATGGAGAAGGACCTTCGGTTCACCCTTGGAAATAAGCTGTCCACTCCCCACCTTTAAAAGACACAGAAAAGGACAAGGTTTGGAGATCAAGTTAAATGTCCAATTTATTTTTATAACTTGAAACCAGAACAAACTTGGTTTTGAACAAGCGTACAAATGAAATGGCAGACACATGCTGAACTCAACATTGTGACATTAAGGGAAAAAGAGGCCCAAAATCTTGTACAGAGAATAAAAGGAACAATAAATATTTTACTAAGCCATATTGAAATGACCTCCTGTCATCTCAACATTTTATCCATAATTAAAAAAAAAAAGAGTGCCCGTTTTTTAAACAGAGCACAAATACCAAGCAATAATAAATAGTTCCAAACTTGTAGTAAAAGACAAAACCTCCAAGTAAACACAAAAGCTCATACAATAAGTAATAGAAAAGGTAATAAAAATATTTCGCCTTGCCGGTACAAATGCAAACGACTGAAATCAATGTAACTTTGCTTTGCAGGGCTGAGGTACAAAGAGCACCAAAATCACGGATTTGCCTGTGTTCAACAAAACCTTCAGCTGACGGACCGGGATGAAGGGCTGATGTCCTTGCTTTTCACATTTTGCTTAGAGTAATTCAGTCTCCTCTCCCCATGAAAGACCCTCCAATGGCAAGTGGCAGGTTCCGATTGGGGGCAACTTTGGGCAAAGTTGTGGCAGTGTGGAACCCGGCCTGAGGTCGGCTGGGTCACCCAGGCTGGAGGCCTCTCACTGGGTCACCTGCTTAACCACCAAAGAGAAGCAAAGCTCTCTTATCTCTGCGGTCGGCAGAGACACAACCCTTGTGCTTTATGATGGCTTAGTCCTGGCATTCTGGTGACTTGGTTGAGCTGGTGAGCGCTGGCTAGCTTTGAGAGCCACAGGAGAACCACGGTGGAGCTCCCGGCAGCTAGGAGGGCGGTGGGAGGGAAGGGCAGCTCTGGGTTTTGGCTCAAGCAGGTAGGAAACTGAAATCTCAGCTTTATGGCCCTCTCCCTCCCCCTCTTTTAACCTTGCAAAGGTAAAGGGCAGGGGGGGGGGGGGGGGGGACAGCACAAACAGAAAGCTCCCAGAAGAAAGATTTCTGCATTTGGTAAAGATTTGCCCAGAAGGATGCTTGGTTATCTTTTTATAACCTGCAATAATGGTTTCTTACATTTCCTGAAATAAAAAATGGCTTCCTGATATAGGTATTTGTTAAAAATGTTTTATTCCCTCATCCAAAAAACCACCATTTTATTATTATCTTAAAGCTACTTGGCTTTACAAAAAAAAAAAAAAAAAGAGAGAGAGAGAGACAAGAAGAAGAAGAAAAGAAAGAAAGAAGAAAAAGAGGAGTGGAAGAGACAGAGAGGGAGAAAGAAAAGAAATTTAATCAACAGGAAATGAACAGGTAAAGGATCAACAGAGGCTGGAGGGTGGGGAAACGCAGAGGGAGAGATACGAAAGGCACCGAATTCATTCATCCCAGGCCCTCGGCATCCGGAAAAGGACAGATGTAGGTTGGAGACAGAAGCAGCGAAGCAGGGGAGAAAAACTGGCCACCACTCGGTGGAACGGAAGGTCCTGGTGCGAGGGTCCCCTTCCTCAGTCCCACCTGCGGGGTCCCTCCAGCGGGACCCCACGGACACAGCTCCTGCTGCTACACGTTCTGTCTGCCTCCTGTTTTCTCAAGGACTAAAGCAGCTCGGGTCTGCGATTCTCTCTGCTCTCGAGAGCGGGCCAGGTGGTGGGGAGTGCCATGCAGTGACAGCAGAGAAGGAAGGCCACCCTGCTGGCTCCCCTCTGCAGCTGCCACCTTGCAAAATGGCCTCCTGGAGAAGGGAGGACTGTGTAAAACGTCACCCACATCTTGACAAAACTGATTTTTCCACTCAACACAAATAAAGCATTTCCCATCCGGCCTGCCGCGGCCACACCAAGGCGCCTTGCTGTCAGGGCGGGCGTCCACATGGAAGCCCGAAGCCAACAGTTCTCTGTGCAGGCCAATTCTGACAAAAATATATACAACTAAAATGATCTGTGACCCAAAGCATTTAACTACTTCCTTTTGATTCTTTTTCTCAAAGGTTGTCAAACAACCCTTCTTCTCCTGTACAATAGGACTTAACATACAAATTTTTTTTTGCAATATTTTATCCTGCCAAATTAAAAAAATATATTATGGCAGCCTGTTTGTTTTTGTTTTTTTTTTCTTTTTATTTCCAAATTCACTAACAAAAAGGTACATTAAATCCCTTTAAAAGGACAAGCTTACAGTTAAAAAATTACAAGCTCCAGTAAAAATACAGCAAGTGCCTACATCATATGAACCAACCAATATATCCATTCCAGAGGGAGGTGGGGAGAGAAAAATAAGTACAGGTCAGAAATGTGATTTTTTTTTTCTGCAAAGCAATGACAATATTAAGCACTTTTTTTTTCTACATACTTTTTCTACATGGTGTAGCAATCCCCTTTTAATCCCCAAATACAAGTTTCTATACATTTTTTTTTTGAAATAAAAATTCAACACCCAAGGCAGAAAAAAATTTACTAAAACTCCGACTTTACAGTTACTGTGACAAGAACAAATTTATAGACCCACCATTTAAATTTTACTGCAACATTTTCAAGGAAAAGAAAAAAGTTTGTTTTTTTTTCTTGTTTTGTAAAATGCCCAGGCATTCTCGATTATTACAAATACTGGTCCACTTTTACAGTAATCAAGAAATTTTAATATATATAATATATACTAAAACCCCGTCACCAAAAGAAAACAATATACACGTAGCCATTGTGGCATTTTTGTATAGCCTATTAAGCAAACTCTGAAAAAAAAATGATCGCTCCAACACACATACACACAATTTTTTTTTTACCCTTGTATGTATCCAATACTGTAAACGTATTTTTAAGACAGAGTGCACTAAATTTAACTTTAGAAAAAAATTAGCCATTGTTCCTGAATTGTTTTGTCGTTTTTTCATTCAACGATATCAACTTGTGTCACTTGAGTTTTAATTCAGCAGTAAGTCACCTCTACTCCACAACTAAGCAGCGTTGTCCCAAGAACAAAAGGGGCTGAGGATAACCGAGCTAATGGATGGCCAAGGTTGTGCTGGGGTTTTTTCTCGCTTCATTGGGTCTTATGGCATTTTCATGTCCTGTATCTTCAACCAGGATTTTATTTTTAATTTAAAGTAAATGTGGCTTTGTTTCTAAAGAATGTACTTTTCTTGTTTTACTTTTTTAAAAAGTCTTTTCATTTAAAAAAAAAAAAAAAAAAGTTTTGCATTTGTCTCAAGAGACTCAAATAGGAAGATCAGTTTTCAAGGCACTCACATCAAATTGAATGGCAGTAGAAAAACTGTCCAATAAATTATTATTTTATTTTGTTCTTTATAGTGCCAGTATTGTGAATGCCACGCTTAGCAACACCGACACTCAATCTCAGCTGTCCCTTACAGTTTAACCCACCTCTGGGCCAAAGAAAATATGCTGCAATTTCTTGTTTAGAAGCCATTTAATTTAAATGCAAACAAAAGCTTTAAAGTGCGGGTCAACAGAATTCAAATGTCTAATATCAACAGTCCAATGTTAGTACCTTCCAACCTAATCCGAGAAAAAAACAACTGGGAAGTAGTGCTGGGCACCTTCGGATGGAGCTCTTCCTCTGCTTCTCTAGGGAGAGGGAACAGAAATCTGTAAGATGTTCCCCCTGTCGCTACAATGTCATCAGAGTGCACTGAATAAGTGGGCACTAACTTCCTCAATTCACCATCAAGGCGTCTGTCTGCTTGAGAAATGATCAGTCATCACGGGTAGCAACATGCGCTTGGGATTTATAGAATGGGGGTGAGAAAAAGAGAAGTCGTCAAGTCAGAAGAAGCCTGAAAGAACTCCGCTGGTTCCTTCCTTTCTGTGTCACTGTAGACCACCACTGCCTACTCCATAAAAAATAGCCTCAGCCCACTTTTTCCAGCCAAAACTACAGCAAAGGGCAGAGATGGCATCCCAGGGCACACCCACATTCCAAGAAAAGGGTACTCTCTGCTGGTAATGCACAACCTCAGAATGCTCGGGGCCTCTTCCCAGGGCAGCCCTCGAAATCAGTTTTTCTAGTGGTACTTTGTGGGTGTCTCCCCCACCACCCCACTAAAAGTTTTCCCTATACCAGGTGAAAATTGACATCAACACAGAAAAGGCCTCTGGGACTCAGGACATCATCAGTGCTCCATCTCCATTCCAATTCTGAAACAAAGTGCTACAATTTTAAAGATTGTTATCCGCTGTACATCCCTCCCCCCCGAAAAATAAAATAAAATAAAATAAAAAGCCTAAAAATGCATGCCACTTTTTATTTCAGGACCAAAAAAAAGAGGGGGGGGGGATAAAAAAGTAAACAACTTTAAAAGTCATTTAAGTGTTGGCTTCTTCACAAGAAATTACACATGCTTAGCTTAAATTTCAAAAAAGCAGCGCCCCCCCCCAAAAAAATTATAATTTAAAAGATATGCTTCCCCTCTACATTGCTGACGAGTCATTGCTCAGACCACTATAGGGTTAAAAAAATGAAGAAGGGATGAATACCCAACAAAATCTTTTAAAGGAATTTAAACAGAAGGAATAATAATAAAAAGTACCTGCACATGCCAAAAAAATTACAAAACCCAATAAATACAGAAATTATTGCACAGTTAAAAGGCTCCACAATTGTTTACTTCCTTAATCAACCCTCGGGTTTCCATAGGACTTCGCAGACACAGGTTAGGTTGGGGTGCCGCCTCCCCGGGGACACACGGGGCGCTAAGTGGCGGTGACGCGGAGGCAAGTCAGGTCGGCATTCTCGCAGTTGGCAAGGGTTCCACTGTACAGGTGAGGGGCGCCCAGCCCGAGCGCTTAGCTCCTCTCGGCCTGCTCGATTTTGACGTCGTTAGTCAGCAAGTGCTCGCCGTGCCACTTTTTCATGTGTTTCTCCAGGGTGCTGTAGACGCTGAAGGGCATCTGGCAGATGTCGCAGCGGTACACCTCCTTGCCGATCTGCCCGTGCGTCTTCATGTGGCGCGTGAGCTTGCTGCTCTGCGCGCACGCGTAGTTGCACAGCTCGCACTTGTAAGGCCGCTCGCCGGTGTGGCTCCGCCGGTGCACCGTCAGGTTGCTGCAGTTCTTGAACACCTTGCCGCAGTACTCGCACGTGTCGCTGCGGCGGCCCTCCTTGGAGCTGGGCCGCCCAGGGCCCGGGCCGCCCAGATGCGGCGTGCTGCCCCCGCTGGCGGTGCCACTGCGGCCCGACAGGCCGCCGTCCAGCAGGTCCCCGGGGGGCGTGGAGAAGCGCAGGCTGCCGTTCTCGGACGAGTGCTCGGAGGACGTGGCGAAGGGCGACTGGCGCGCGTCCGTGAAGCCCAGGAATGGGTCCTTCATGAAGTGCCGTGACGCCGCATAGCCCACGAGCCACTGCGAGTACACGTTCTCCGACGGGATGAGCGCGGCGGGGGGCAGCTCCAGGTCCTTCTCCACCTTGATGCGCTTGGCCGCGCTGTTGAGCCCGGGGCTGGGCAGCGGTGCCGGCTTGCGGGGAAAGAGGCCGGGGAAAGGCTCAGCGCCGGGCGCGAAGCCACCGCCCCGCCCGTTCACCGCGCCGCCCGCACCCGCATCGCCGCAGCCTCCCGCGTCGTCTTCGTCGCCCGTGTCACCAGCGGCCGTACGCTTCAGGAAGGCGCCACGCTTCTGCTTGTCGGCCAGCAGCTCGCTGTACTGGGGCAGCGCGCCCAGGCCCACGTTCTCCATGACCTTGCCCAGCACCAGCGCCTTCTCGTCGGCCAGAGCCTTGGCCGCGCCGCCCACGCCGCCCCCCGCGCCCGGCACCCCGGCCACACCGCCACCGTTCTCGCGGTTACGGCTCAGCTCCGAGTCCATGCTGAAGCTCGACTCGGGTCGGCTCTCGTTCTCCAGCAGCAGCTCCTCCTCTTCCTCCTCCTCTTCCTCGTCCTCCTCCTCGGGCTCGTGGCCCAGTGACGGGTCGCTCTCGTGGTGGCGGAAGTCGCCGTCGGACGCCTTGAGGCCCTCGCCAGCCAGCTCGCTGGTGCCAGGCTCCGGGGAGCTGGCGGCCGAGAGTCCGTCGTCGGAGCGACCAGCCAGCGAGCCGGCCTTGTGCATGTGCGTCTTCATGTGGCGCTTGAGCTTGCTCGCCTGCGAGCACGCGTGGTCGCACAGCTGACACTTGTAGGGCTTCTCGCCCGTGTGGCTGCGCCGGTGCACGATGAGATTGCTCTGGAACTTGAAGGTCTTGCCGCAGAATTCGCACGACTTGCTCTTGGCCGGGGGCTGTGGCGGTGGGGTGCTGCCAGGGGGCATGGCGGGCAGCGGCGGCGTGCTCAGGAAAGGGGACTTGGGGCTGGGCTGGAAAGGGTTCAGGAGCCGGTGCATAGGGTTGCCGCGGCCTGGCGACACGGGTGGCGGCGTGGAACTGTTGCCTGCCAGCTCGCGAAGCCGCCGCGAGAAGTCCATGGCAGGTGAGTCGATGGCCATGGGGTTCAGGCGCATGACTCGGTCAAAGGCACTGGGGTGCTGGGCGACGAGCCCCATCTCCTCGGCACTGAGGCGGTGCGGGTCCAGGTGGTGGCGTGGCGGCGGGCTGAAGAGCGGAGGCGTACCGGGCAGGCGGCCCTCACCAAAGCCAGGGTGGTCCCGCAAGATGGGGCCCGTCATGCGCAGCAGGTTGAAGGGGCTGCTGTCGCCCAGGAAATTCATGAGTGGGGACTGTGCCACAGCCTCGGGCCCCAGCGGCGGCGGGATGGTGAGCCGGGGCGTGAGCGAGCTGCTGGCCGGCCCGGGCTCCAGGTAGATCCGGAAGCCATGCGTGTTCTGCGCGTGCTGCAGCAGGAACCACGCGCTGTTGAAGGGCTGCTTGCATGTTGTGCAAATGTAGCTGGAAGGCTCATCTTTACCTGGGGAGACACACGGACAGAAAGGCAGAGAGAGCATGAGAAGTGGCAGGGGGCATGGGCACCAAGGGGCCACTAACCTGGAGGCAGTCAGCAGACCAAGAGCCCTGTGCTCCCACAAGAGGCTACAGGGCCACTTCTGGGCAGGCCTGGCTTTGCTCTTCCCACCTGGCTGGGCACTGAAGAAGTCAGATCTGTGCACAGGGCGCCCTGGTAACTGGATCTCAACAAGTTCCTTCCACTCTGTAGCCTGGCTTTTGCCTGTCCTCAAGGTGCTTTTCTCCTTATCTCAGAAACCAGATGAAAGTGTGCCCAGAAGAAAGCCTTATTTTAATGGAATCAGCAAACAGTGGACTGGGAAAAACAGCTAGGCCAAAGCTCAACCATATAAGGCAATCTAGACTGGGGTTTCTTAACCCAAACCCTATTGACATTAGACCCCAATGATTCTTTGTTGGGGTGGGAGCAGGGCAGTCTTGGTATTGTGGGGAGCACCCCTCCTTCTGAGTGGAGACCAAAAAATATCTCCAGACACACCATTTGTCCCCTGCAGAGCAAAATCACCTCTCCACCATGGGAAACACTGATTCAGACAATATTTGATTCAAGGTAATTGCAAAGAATTTTTTTTTTTTTTCTTGAGGAGAGATGGTTGCGATATCTTTGCAACGTTTGCCATTTAGCCATAGGAAATCCCTGTGTTTCCCACACCAGTGTCCCTGCAGAAAGCACTGTGCAGTTGAAACAGCCTATATAAAGTGCTGCAGAGACCCCAACAGCTGTCCCTGCCTAGTGTCCTCATGCACAGGCCAGGCCCCAGATGTGGTGTGGAATTCAGCTTCCATGGGCCCCTTCAGGACACTGACCTCGAGGAGTACCAGAATACTAAGGAATGAAAGGCCACGCCACGCCTGACAGGCCATCAGGATGAACCACTGTAAAGGTTGATTTGTCAGAACTGGCTCCAGTGATATGGGTAGCAAACTGTAAGTGGACTCTGGTGGCACTGAGCCAAAATGTCACCGTCTTTGTCCATCATTGAGGCAGTCACAAAATGGAGGCTGAACCTTTCATCTGGAACCTTCTCACAGCCGGCCTCCTCGACCTCTGCTGAATCTGGCTGCTCTGCCGACCGGAGCCCCTGTTAACGCTTTACACAAGTGAGACAGGCGCGGACAGGCCATATTCCATCATCAGATGCACCAGCCGGGAAGGAAAAAAGAACAGGAATCCCATCCCAGACCAGGTACAAGACGTCGCCACTGCAGTCTTGAAAAGCTCCTTTTGTTTTATTCAAACTTTCCTGAACCTGGAAAATCTAACGCAGATTTTAAAGTCAGGCACGCTGGTGAGGCCAGACATGCTCGTTGTCATCGCGCCCACATCAGGAAGGCCACACGGAGGGAGTAGACAAAGCAATCCCCATCTTGGCTGCTCCACCCCTCGACTTAAGGACTCTGAAATCCCGCGCAGAGCGTGTTTTTGTTTTACACCCACTAATTATGTTCCTGGAGGGAGCAGCCTTAGCAGAGCTTGTAGCTGCCTTAACTATCCTTCAGAAACCATCTTTAAAAGGCACAAGGCACGTGGCCCTGAATTCCACCAGAGGGATTCGGTCTTGCGTGTGCCTCTCTCACAAATTAGCCTTGCCAGCATCCAAGGGTCGAGGACCTCCCGACACACCCCCCATGGGCAGTGTTGCAGAAGCTGCCCAACGGGCTGGGCACAGACTCCCCAGACTGCAGAACCAACCCGATGGGACACCTGGCACTGGAAACCGGGACGTGCTTTTACGTGCCTGCTGTACTCGGGGATTATGCCATAGTGCACTCTCACTTTGTGTCTGTTTGGTGGAGAGAAGACCAGAGGCAGGGAGGGGCAGGACAGAATTCTGAGGCTCAGCCTCGCCTCGCCTTTAAAATAGCTCAGGGAGAACTTCCAAGGCTATTTTCTTCTCCAGGGTGTTGGGGCCTTTTCCCTCTCCCAGAGTGTCTGAGTGACTCTGTCCCTATCACACCCCCTAAGGGAATGTCCCCCACCTGGAAGAGGGTAGAAAGGCCCAAATGGCCATGATGCTCATTGTCGGGCCACAGACACCCCCACCCTTTCTGCAGGCCACTAGCAGAAAGTATGATGTCCACTTCTCCGGGGAAGTGGACATCATACCGCAGACAGCTCATGAGACAGACAGCCAGAAACCATACTTAGGGGGCTCTTCTAAGTAAGCAATAAATGAGAAGATAAATGAAAGTCCTTTTCAGACCCAGGAGCTAATAACACAAATGAAGTGCCACGTCCACCGAGGTCACAGATCTTCAAATGAAAAGGCATGTCAGAACCCTTCCCCAGCTTCGTCCAATCTAACTCAAGGGTTGATGGCCCACGGCCACTGTGGTTCTCTGCCTGGTTTTCATCTGGACTTCCCTCCCCACATCTCTTCTCCATCATCTCCGCTTCCTTAGGTAGCTCCAAAGCACTTCCTGTTTCTTGATCTGGTGGCTACGCATTTCCTAGAAAGTTCTGTGGCTAGTGGGGAATTTCAGAGGAAAATGCAGAGGTCCTAGGCAGGGCGATGAAGACTGCCTGGAGGCCGAAATGGCCGATTACATTTTTTAAAAACTCAAAATGGCAACTGCTGAGAAACATGTAGCTGCATGTTCTAAAAAGCTCAGATGTTTCCACTTCTTGTTTAAAAAAAAAAAAAAAAGGACACTTCTAAAACTCCAGCTTCAGGAGGAATTTACCTGTCCATAATTCACCGTGAGGTAGCAAAGAGCTCTGTTTACAAGTGGGATCTCGGGCCATCTGTCATGCCAGGGTAAGTTCTTTCTTACCAGAGCCCCCTGACCCACTCTGATTGGAAGACCCCCTGTGTGAACAGCAAGGCTGACCACAGGCAGTGGCCTCCCTGGGATCTGACAGCACCTGACCGTCTGAGGCTCTCCCAGCCCTCGAGGCCCTCCCTAGACAACTCCTTTGACACCCTCATTCTTTTTTTAATAAAATGACTTCCTGGTTATCTCCTGCCACAAGTGGTCCTGAACACGGGACTCTCACTTCTAAGGCCAGAATACCAGAAAGTCTTTGAAGAGCCACTCTGAATGTTTTCAAAATCTCAATTTTCTTAAAAAAAAACACAAATGCAGCGGTAGACCCTTAGATAGCAGGCTGATTCCGACTCTGGGCCTGCCCATTCCCCTTCCTGAGATCAAACACGCCCTGCACCAACCCCTCCTTGAGCTCAGGCCACCTGAGGGAGTTGGAGGCAGAACTGTAGCTCAAGGCGAGTTCTTTGCTGGTGTCCCAGACAGGACCCACTCCCACCATGGCTCCAACAGAGACAGGTTAAGGCCTACACTGTTTAGAAGTGGTTTACCCAGAAACATCGAACCTGGCCTACAGACCTGGAAATAGCAGCTGCATTTTGCTCGTGGAATGGCACAGGGCAATTCAGAACTCAGGGCCCAGCTCTTCATCTGCTGGCTTCCTTCCGCCCTCATCTCTTGGACCTTTCTAGTGCCCTCTGGCAGAAGCCGACACTGGATCTTCTTGGTTCTACTGACTCTAAAGTGATCCCCTTGGCATCTCTCTCAAATGCAAAACCCTCCCCGTGACTGACTTCTTGGTTACCAGAGCCCTGGACAGCAGCATTTGCTTAATACCTCTGCCCTCTTCCCAGACAGGTGCTGCCAAGCAAGTCACCTAACCCCTCTGAGCCTTGATTTCCTCATCAGTAGAACACAAATCACACACCTGCCTCGCTAGAGGGCTGGGGCATGAATGAGATGCTGTCCCTGTAAATCACGCATCGCCACGCAGCGGGTGCAGGGAGGGGTTCACTCTTTGCGGTTTTGTTTTCCATCCTGTGCCTGGTGGTGCGTGGTTCAGGGATGGCTTTCAGTGCGGCTCTGGCAGTAATAAAACCCTGGAGGAATTTTAATGCAGCCTGCCTCATGTAGTAGAGGTTCCCGGGAAGTAGAAACTTGCAAACGCTGAGGAAACGTGATTTTTTTATGGTGACGTTGGGAACCAACAGGCAACTGGACTCCTGCATTGGAATGCTGCTCTCCCTCGGGTCCCAGACTCTGTTTTATGTGCATTGAAATAATGGTTCCTCCTCATGATGCCAGCTACTCTAGTAAGACCAATAAAGGCATCAGGGTGTTCCATAAAAAGCATACCTTTAATTGAATCATTATTCAATGAATAGGCCATAATTGAGAGTGCTGGCCCTCCAGGCCAACTGATACCAAATGGAAGGGCATTTGCCCTGCGAGAGATTCAGTGGCCCAGGCTGCCGGAGAGGATCGGTTCTGGGCCTTGTGGCCCCTCTACAGGCTGCAGAGCATTCTGCACCTGATGGGGCCTTTCCACCGCATTAGCTCATCACTGCTCACCACCACCTCAGAGGGAGGCCAGGCAAGGACCTGGCCCTGCTGGCACGAGGACACGGAGGCTAGCAAAGCAAGTTCATGCAGCCAGAATGCAGCCAGGCCACGGCCCCCTTCAGGGGCCCCCAGCAGGACCCCCTTGCCTCCAGCACACAGGACCTGCCACCGGAAGGATTCCCTGTCCTCTATCACAGTAGACGTCAGGACAGGGGTCCACCATTGTACTGTGTGAAGGGCACTGATTACCCTTGGATGGACCCCAGTCAAGTCCACCACAGGCCTTGACCCCAGAGAGAAGAAGTGGAGTCATTTCTCAGAGCCAGAAAGCCCACTGGGTGCCATATGCCACTTGGGGGACAGACAGGGGAGAGGGTCATAAGATACTGAGGTGGCTGAGTCTAGCGCCAAGAAGCCAGGCCCCAGAAGGCCCAGAGGCAGCTTTCTTCCCATTCTGGCCTTCAGGATGACCAGGATACAGGACCAAAGACAAGGCTGGTTTTGCAAGCTGAGTGCTTAATCATCCTCTAGAATCTACGGCTGCTCATGAAAGGTGTGGCTCAGTGGGAGAGCACAGGCCGATGCAGGAGGCCCAGAGTTCAATCCCTAACTCCG